TCATTCTGTAGGAAGTAGTAATGACTGTGCAAATCTTGAAAGGTGACGGTATTAGCTTCAAGATGGCCTTCTGGTTTAGGGACAATTTAACTTGCCACTAGGGACAACAAAAAGTAAAAGCATGCCCTACTAGCTCAGTGGCTGTACCTAAGAAAGTTGTTTGGACCAGAGGATTTTCTATACAGACAGTAGTAGCTATGTTACTCTTGGTTCTGCGGAGTCATTCGCCTGCCACCGTGATTGTATTGTATCTAAGAATTTAAGCAGATTTCAGAGGTCTGTAACCTCCGGTGTTTCATGTGGATCTGTTTCCTGAGGGGCTGAACACAAATCTTAAAAAACGCACCTTCAGTGAAAGGATGTAATTGCCTCTACTTGTGCCTGATGGCCTTTATTTTGTATGTTTTCTGTTCTCATGTGGAGGTTCCTGTTAACTTTTTCAAAAATGTTTTTCAAGTTTGACAAATGCCTGCTGGCACAGTAGTGACAGATATCCCTTCAGCTGGGCTGTTGGAACTGTTTGTGGAGTTGGTAAGTTGCTTTGGAGCAAGGTTAAAAATAACCAGTAGAAGTTGCTTATACTTAGGCTGCTGGTGAAAAAGGTGTTTATTAAACTATTCTGCATTAATGTAACCATTGTTAGATACCCCTCCATCTACCTTTATAGCTCTGAGTTTGTCAGATCAAAGGTAGCCAAAAGCTTAAAATAATACTTTGTTTATATACCCCATCCCAAGTGCCTTTCGTCTGTCTTTGATGATGGGGTGGTTGGTTTGATTTGGAACTTTTTGAAGACAAAGAGCACTGGCTTTTTTTAGATTGTAAGATTTTGATGCAGGGTGTTTGTCTTGTAAAGCAGTATGGTTGTGGTCCTAATTGGGGATGGATGGATAATGCTTTGTTTAAGAACTTGAGTGCTCATTCCTTCCTCTAAAGTATTTCTTATTCTGGGAAGTTTTCTAGTTTCAGTTTAGAATACATTACAGTGTCAAATATCCTTGAGTTAGCTTTTGTTGTTGGTTTTATTTTTATGTTCGTTATCATGGTTTACCTATCTACTTTTTCTTCCCTTCCTCTTTTTTTCTTCTTAGGGTAATGTTCCAGACGTATCCCTGAAATCTATGTTGAAAAGAAAGAACAAACTTTTAAAATTTCCTTGATAAAATAACATAATGCAAACTTTTACAGAGATGCATTTAAGCTTTTTTTTTTTTCCTCTGTTGGAATAGATTGTGTTACGCTGGTGCAAGAGAACTTGAAATCAAAGTTGGCTAGTTTCTTGTGCTGGAGAAAGCTGAATGAAGTCCATAATTCAAAAGAAATGCTGCACATATAGACAAGTAAATAATTTTATTTTCAATTTTAGCCTATTATTAAATTAGCATTAACTGGCAAAATATAGTTTTAGAAATGAGATTTAAGCTGCTACGGTTCAAGTGAGAGAACCTTTGAGCAAAATTGTTCAACAAAACCTAAGGTGAGCTCAATAAAATCAACTTAAGCATTTGCAAATCCAGAACTGGAAAGAACCAGATGTTTGGTTTCTATTCAGTCCCTCTGTTCTGCAAGTGTAACTGCATAAATATGGAATAGTAACGGGTTTATATGTAAAGCTGTTGCTTGATCTCAAAATGTATTTGTAAAAGCATGGGAGAATTGTTTTCCACATTTTGCAGCTAGGAGGCAGAAATGCAGAAATTCAGGGTTTGGGAAATAACATAATGGGTCAGAGCTGCGCAGCAGGGGATACAGTAGTGTGTATTAGTAGCACAGAAGAGATGAGAAAACTGGGAAAGAGGAGGATCAGAATGTTGTTTAGGTCTCCTGTATTCCAGCTAGTCATGCTACTGGAGATATGTATCAATAAGATCTTTCTTTCTTTCTTTGAACATTGTTACACCTTTTTTATAAACATATTCTTCAGATTTTTTTTATATAGTGCATGTATTATTATTTTTTTTAAAACCTTTAGCTTTCTTCTATTCACATGGTTCCTATGAATTCATATTTCTTTGAGACTTCCCAAAGAAAGGCAGCAGGATGTCTTTTCTCTAGATTTTTTTCTTTGTTGTCAGTGCAGAGTGAGACGTTAAAATGAATGCTTAAGGCAGAGATTGTAATAGGTTATGCTTGCTCACTGCTTGGATGGAAGTATCCAAGTCTAGAAGCATTTTGGTTTACTCAATATTTCTAAACCATGCCTTGCAAGAGGTTAATATTATATTTGTATACTAAATGGGAATGGGTGTATTCAAAATTGTTGACACTTAGATTCAGGTTCTCAAAGAGCATGGCTAGTATTTAGCAGCAGCAAATAGATACCTTTCTCAACACAAATGAGAAAAACTTGGTAATTAATATTTGAAATGTTCAATATTTGAGTGAAAAGTTTAACAATTAAAGACTTCTGTTAGGTCAAGTAACATTAAAATAGAATAAAAGCAGTTTTCAGTGTTTTTACGCTGTATTCACATACTGCTTCTATAACAAATTGTGTCCATTCTTAACTGAATATCACAAAACATGGTCTAGAATATTAGCTACAGCTCAAATTAAATTTCAAATTGAAAAGCATCTCCCTAAATATCTGTTGTCTTGAACTGTCAGAACATGGCTAATGAACATGGGGACACACTACTGTAATGTTGTGTAATTTCTCTCCCATTGAAATCTATGCAAGTAGATTGTACTTCTAGCCAAGATACACCATAATTGCTGTAAACATCCTTACTGACAGCTCCACAGCACATTAATGTTCTTTATTCCTGTAGATCCCCCTTTAATGATAGATCTTTTCCTTTAAAATTGTAATTTTCCTCTCTTTCAACCACTTTTTCCTTTGTTCTGAATAAGCATGTGACTTTTCTCTCCGGATCTGTTTAAGACAAGCCATCAGAGTTTTATGGAGACATTATCATACAGTATTATGGTTTGCTTGGAGGTTAGCAACCTTTCAAGGGTGTTACGCGTGACGGCGTTATTCTTTCAGAATGTAGCTATTGAGGGTGCCAGTAGAAACTTGCTGATAATTGGGAGACGCTGCTGATTGGAGGTATCTTGTTTTCTTACACGGCAGTCGTTCCTGGGTTCCAGTAAGTGAACTCAGCAAGAGCCAGGAGTTGGAGCCAGGGTGGAAATCAAATGCCTCTCGGAAGATGCCACGGGTTCCAGCTCCTTGCTCTGTCCTGGCCCTGCCTGCGTGCCATGCAAAATCTGCACATGTGCTATCTTTGGATCTGGTGCCGTAAATTGCCAACCCAATCTGTAGTAGTCCATCAAAACCAGATGGGATAAGTCATTTCTAACTTTGAGGATTCATGTAATTTTGGGTTTTTAAAAAAATAAATAAAATCCAGGCATACTAATTAGTTACTGTTTGTTCTCTTCTTTGCCTGCTTTCCCCCCCACCCCCACACATAGCCTTTGGTTTCTCTGTTTTTTCTCTTGCTGTTTCTTCATCTCTTTTCTGTGTTGTCACCCATCTTGCCTTTTCTGATATTGAACAAGCCAACAATTACAGAATAATTCTTTCAGCTGGGAACAGGCTGCACAGTAGAAGCAGTAACCATCACAGCAGTTGACCCGGTATATCATGCACATCTGCCTTGTAGTTTATTACTTCTGTATTGTCAGTGAGTTGTAGTCAAAAATGCACATTGAGCGAGTTCTCAATTGGAGACTATGGCATGATGTTTAGGAAGTTGTAGTCAGGTGAAAATACTGAGTAACATTAATTTTGTATCTTGAAGATTTCTGATACAGAATGTAAGGCCAAAACATTTAAAGTGGTATAAATGCATTACGTATATTGGTTCTTCATACATAGTCTCCTGCTTCTTCCATGGTGGTGATCATGTAGAACATTTCATTTGTCTGACTATTTTTCTTTAATTTTTGTTCTTTGTTTTCTGTTCTGTTCATTTTGGATGAAATACTACTAGAATTTGAGATTAATGGATCAAGATAATATTGCCTCTATCTCTTAGGCTGTGCTTTACTGAAGCTACATCTCCTGGAGTAAAACTAAGATTTTTAAATTCTTCTACAAAGAAAAATTCCTTAATGAACTACAGTATTTTGATATAAGTCCTTTTCACTGTATACCAATGTTCATGCTCTTTTCTGCTCTCCTTTCTCCAAATACTTCACCTGAGATTTATTTGAGTTGAGATGTGTCTTAGGAGTGTCACCTTCAATGTGCACGGGCAGACTGAATGCTTTCTGGCTGCCTTAGGTTTGCGGGGTGTGCACTGGGCACCCGTCCTGTGCCTTCACAGTTGCTCATGCTTTTTCTCAGAAACACTCAGTTTTACTCTGCATGTACGATACGTTCATTCTATACAGTTCCTGTGGGCAGTGCAGAAGGGGGTGAGAGGCCACTGTGGCTCAGCCCAGGCTCTTGTTGCCACCAAGACATTTTGTATAGTTTGCGTTGCGCTGTTATGTTGGGACAGATAGGCCAAGAGTGCTGGATGAAGATGGGAAAGCTGTGGTAGCCGGCTGTCTACAGACTGTAGTTTCTGTAACCCCTGTTAGTTCAAAGTTATTCAGCAGGCTCATCCATTCCAACACGAATGTCAAGCTGTTCAGAACTATCAACTTCAGCAGTCAGATAAGTGCATTTTCTTGAGGTGTCTAATGACATCCTCAAATGAGCTGAGGAAAGATTATCCACTGGAGCTATGGAAAAAGTTTCAGTAATCTTTACTGTGTCCTAATATAGTTGGTAAGAGTTGTAACATATTTAACTGGCAAGTTTAAATATTATATATATCTATACACACTTTATTTCTGTTAAGTCTGGCAACATGGTTTCAAACAAGTAACCTATTTTCTAGCATACAGGATGCAGACACCCCCCCTTCCCCACACACAGCTCCCTTAAATGAGTCAGAGTGTAGTTGCTTCTGCTTCTTGTTTCATTTGAGGGACAGATGTATACAATGGCATTAGGAGGCAATTTTCTACTGGTATGTGTAATTTTATCATTTTTGTTTCTCAGGATGTGATCTTCATGGTGAGCTGGTGGGAAAACTGAGTTGTAAATCACCCCAATGGATGCGGACAGTGATGTTGCATTGGACATTTTAATCACAAATGTAGTGTGTGTTTTTAGAACAAGATGTCATTTAAACTTGAGGAAGATCGCATTAGAGGGAGCAAATGTGATATACAAGCGTGATGTTGGGGTAAGAGATTCAACATACCTCAATTATCTGTTTTTATGAATGTTCCTTAAGCTAAACATTCTTGTGTCTGATGTCTATGTATGGTGGATAGGGAAAAGCATAGCTTTATTTCTGTATTTGTGTCTTGATAGACATTTAGTTTGCTATACACTAAATGTACAGTAAGGGGAGTAGGTAAATGGAGTAGGTAAATATTGTCTCAGAAGACTGCAACTAGTGAGGTGAATATTTAGTATAAGGTATGTGATGAGATCTCTTACACCTGAGGGTCCATTTTGCCTCCTGAAATTTGATGGTTTTGTCAAGAAAATATATCTTAATATGGAGTCAGCACTGTAGGAGTCACTGTAATAAAAAAATAGCACAATGCTCCTGGCTTACAGCTTTTTATTCAGAAGAAAATACCTTCATTTAATCTGTTTTGTGAACACTGAATCACTGGCTGAGGTATCCCACGCTTATTTTGTTCTTCTCAGGAGCTGGTTTTGTTTTGGTTTTAAATTACTGAAAGAGATGAAGGAACAGTTCAAAGCTATCAAAAATAAAGGAATTATTATTAGTGTAACAGTTGATTTGTCTAACAGTGTTATTATTTTTTCTGGTATGAAATTGAAGTACCACTAATTCCCAGTTCTTCCACTTTTATTTTTCTTTTTAGAAAGTATTAATGAAGCTTAGGAAGCCTAGGATTACGGCCACAATTTGGTCCTCAGGAAAAGTTATTTGCACAGGAGCCACAAGGTGAGTTCATGAAGATTCTTTCTCTAGCTGTAAATTCTTGTCTATTTTTTTAAAAATAGGATGTTATAAATGAAGAAGGTGGCAAGAGGCAGTACTTTGCACTGTTAAGATTCACTCACACTGGATCACATGTAGATCCTTGCCAAGCACTGTATTTGGGAGGAAGTTTTCTATGTGAAGTGTCTGCCTCAGACTCGCTTGAAATCTTAAGCAACATCAGTTCACCCTTCTGGGAGAGCAGCAGGGAAAACTACTTTACGAAGAAAATCTTAGAGATTTCATATGAGAACTCTAAGAATTCTATATTTTTAGCCAGAATTTGAAACTGCAGAAGGAATGCCTTTTTTGAGGGATATCTGTTATTCTTTTATGAAAACCCACCTGAATTTAATCAGGTTATACAGTGTTGAGGGACTGGAGAGAAGCAAAAGCAGACTCTCAGTTCAGATACGTCTGAGACTTGCTAAACTCTTTAACAACTGAATTCCTCTAAGATATGTCTGCATTGTGGAGTAAGGATAAGGTACAATAGTAAATTTGCGTACTTTCTGTATATGATCTCTGTCTCAAAATGGAAGATGATTGTTCAGGATGTTAACTCCACACTACCTGTGATCGTATTTGTCTCTTAAGAGTATTTAGTATCGTGTATGATCACAATACATCTCCCACTTCAGCTGGAGCCAAGTGCCAAGATATTCTTCAAATAGGGCATAAAGGACTCCATTTGAGTATCTAGATAGTTAAAATGTAATAATACAGCAGGATAAAATGGAGGCTGTCCATGCACTCATGGTTCATGTGCTACGTGATGTAACGGTTCATTTTATAGTCTGAGAAGCTATTGTGGTATGTGTGCACACAAATAAATACTCTATTTCTGTTAATGCTAGATTCTTTTCTTTCTCCTTTATAGTGAAGAAGAAGCTAAATTTGGTGCCAGACGATTAGCTCGTAGTCTACAGAAACTAGGTTTTCAGGTAATTCTAATGAAAAAGGACTTGTATGACTCAAGCAATGCTGGTAGTCAATTTTTTAGAAAGAAACAAAAATGAGGGAGCATAACAATTAGCAGTGAACATGTTTTCACTTAGATGCCCCTTTTGTGTCTGCATACATTTTCCAGATGCTGGTTAAAGAGAAGCTGTTTTATTTTGTGGATTTGAGTTTCATTTGGCGGCTCATAGTAGCCAGCTTCTTCACTGGCTAATGAACAACAAAATTTGTTTAATAAATGAACCACCCACAGATGTTTCTTGGATAGAATTTACAATATCTTGAAAGATTTATTTGGAATGAATGCTGAAGATTATAAACCTAACTGTCATTTGAACATAATTTTCCCTCATTTCTGATGCAATAGCAGATACACATCCATCTTGTTAAAGGCAAGTTTGAGCCCCTTTAATTAAAGAGGGGGGGGAAAAAAGTGCTTCTGTGCTGTAGGTTGTATGGCAGGAAATAAGCCAAATAAAATACTTAGGACGTGAAACCCCTCTTTTTTTCTGGGTTTGAGTTAAAATTATGAGTCAAAAACACCACTTCACACTTCACCATAGTGAAGGCTGAAAGAGAGCAATGTGAATGACTTAAAATGGCATGGTTTAGTACTCTAAAACTTCCTAGTAGTCAGTTGTGCTGTTTACCCACAGTTTCACTTTACGGACAGACAATTAAATAGACACAGTGGCAGTCCTTTGGCAGGGCGAGGCTACCTCTGATTGTAGTGTATAAAGGCAGTGGTGACAGGCTATCCCGGTAATGATCCATCAGACCCAAGCAGAAGTTAGACACTCTTACTGTTACGAATGCATGCGTTAGACCCAGCCTCTTAAAGTTGGAATGGAACATTAAATCAGTGAGGTGAATGTTGCTTCCAGGGTGGACACAACAGGTTTTATTATAAAGCAAGCAGTTTAAGTGGAGTGTATTTGAAGATTAAATTGATAGTTGACCTTTTATAAGGATAAGTTGCTTCTACTGGTAGTTCTGAAATGAGGTAGTTCCTCATTTGACTGAGGAATGGTCATTTTAAGTTTAGGAAATCTCAGAAAACGAACAAAAGTTTCTTCAGTGGTATTGCCAACACTGACTTCTCAGCAGTGCATTTCTTTGTTTAGGAATGCAACAAGGCATTAAAGCAGCTTTCAAATTGCTTCAGATTCTTGTAACAATGAAATTTAAGCTTTTCTCTGCTTATTTTGATGTTCAGTGAGCTATTTAATTTAGCTTATTTTCAGTTTGGAGGTGTTTAGTACAGCAATACAAGTTGTTCTGTGTCTCATTCTTAAACTTTACTATAACCATATAATACAACTGTGAAGTATCTAGTTCAACAGTTACTGTACCATAGAAGGATAAAGCGATTTGAGTCCATTAAGTACAGTTTCGATTCCTATTAGAAATGCATCAATCACAAGGTTTTCATTTTGAAATCTCATCAAAACATTCTAATTAGTAGATTATTTTGTTTTGGGGTTTGGTGGGATTTGTTTTGGTTTGGTTTTTTGGGTGTGTTTGGGTTTTGGGGTTTTTTTTGCAACCCGTACATCTGCCTTGCTGTAAACTAAATCTCTAATGTCTTTTTTTCCCCTCTTTTTGAAAAGGTAATTTTCACAGATTTTAAAGTTGTGAATGTTTTAGCAGTGTGCAACATGCCCTTTGAGATCAGATTGCCAGAATTTACGAAGAATAACAGACCTCATGCGAGGTACGGTAGGATTTTAATGAATTACAGTCTTGGTATACTTCTTAAGCTTTTCTTTTTCGGTTCTAGATCTATCTTTTTTTACTTTTTATTTTGTTTTCTAGTTATGAACCAGAACTTCATCCTGCCGTGTGTTACAGAATAAAAACTCTCAGAGCTACCTTACAGATTTTTTCCACAGGCAGTATCACAGTTACAGGTATTTTGATGTCAAAAATAAATATTTAACTTTTGGGGAATATTTAACTTTAGGGCCAGTAGGTTTAGGAAAGGAAGATGTTTAAAACAGTCAGAAGATACATGGAAGGGATTTTGTTTCCCAGTGCTAGCACCTAGTTTGTTTTTGAGTGAAATTGCCAGAAGAGTTGTAGAGAAAGTTTTATTATTGGTAAGCTCAAAAATTACTTTGAATGTAATCTGGTTTTTGAACGTAGTCTGGTTTTTATAAAAACAAAAGTGAGATAGGACTTGAGAATGCAGTTATTTAGTGTTTATTTAAATATTTGAATTTTCTTCCTTTTTTTCATCTTCATAGTGCTGTAAACTACACTGCATGTAGCATTAACGTCCCTTTCATAAATACATGTTTCCAAACTTGAGATTTATGGAAATGTAAAGGATAGCATAGTATTTTGTCATAACTGAAGTTGACTAATACTTGCAGTTCTTCCAGACTTGTGCTCTCTTCTGTTTATTCTCAACTGAGAGAGAATCACCACCTGAATCACAGGCATCAGTGATTTTTTTTCCCCAATGTAATTAGAGACATGATTGTCCTGAGTCTTGGAGATGCCATGCCATGTTTTTGACTCTTTCTTCCTAATTTTCATTTTCCATTTTCTGTTATGTATGCTTGTGAAGTATCCACCACAGGTTTCCAGATATGAGAAGTCGGATTTTTTAGAGAATACGTGTTAAAATGGTACAGAACCAAAAACCATCACTTTATATCACTCTAGCAGGAATTCTGTCTTGTGGTTGTTAGAGCTCAGTTGGGTAGAGATTTTTATTTTCACATCTTAATTCCTTAACAAATACTTGGCTTTATGGGGAATGTTTCTCACAAGATATTTGGAGAAGTCTTTTTTTTAAAGATGACAAACTCCATCAGATTTAATCTGAAAATATAGGGCTGAAAAGTATTTCAATATTCCAGTATATGCTCTCAACAGAGCAACTGGTCTAGCCAAAACTAGAAACTAAATTTAGGATAAATCAGAAGCTTGAGTATTACTGCAGTAATAAAAGGCTCTCAGTGTGTCTTGTCAGCCTCCTAATGAGATTTAGCCTCTCTGTAAGATTCTTATTACTACATATACGGGACAAAATCACTTTCGTATTTCCAGAATTGTCCTTTCAAATATGAAGGCAAATACAGTAAACAACAAAGTTTTACTTCCTTCTGGTTTATTTGTTACAGTGAGTTTGAAATATCTCAGACCTCTGTTGGTTTTGAAGGCTTCTGTTTTGTCTAGGCCTTTCTTCTAGGGGGGAAGAAAATGTCCACAATCTTACGCTTCTAAAAACGTTTTAAATTACTTTTCAACCTTACTGTACTCACTCTCAAGTGCATTCAGATGAGGTTCCTTTTGACCATTCATACTTCTGTAGTACTAGTACTTGTCATGCCACTAACTCCAAGAATTTCATTTGAGATGCATAATTAGAAATGTTATTAAAAAAACAGGAAGGTGGGGTTTTTTTAAATAAATAATAAAAAGATTTAGAGTTCCATTGAGAAAAGAAAATAGAAGAGCTGATATGTAATAGGAAGAAGTATGAATTTTTTTCTTCCTCCAAAACGAGTGATGAGGGGGTTGGTTTGGGGTTTTTTTGTTTGGGTTTGTTGGTTTTTTTTCTTCTCTTATACTCCCTGCAATTATGATCCAGTTTTTAGATCTCTTCCACCCATACAGGGAGTAGCATTTTCTTACAAGAATTATTTGCCTACTCATACTCTCGCTTTCTGAAGGCTTTCTCTAGAACGTGCATTTCTATAATAGCAGACAAATTTAAGGAAGGTGCAGTATCTGCCCAGAAGGCAGGTTATCTTTCACCAGGCTTGTTTTAGGTGAGTGCTTAACTCAACTTGACAAGTTTGAAAGTACAGGAAGAATCCTATTCCATTCCACTCTTTTTCTCACTGAGCGTGTAAATTAAAACAGTATTTCCAGATTTACTTAAGTAAGTTATTTATGTTTTTTGGGAACCATTTTGAACAGTTCTCTATACTTGGAAGAAACTTTTGAAGTCTGAAGTGATGTAGAAAGCCCCTTGAGTTCAGAGTCATCAGAGCACATGAGAAACTGCTGTTTTCATTTATCTGCATCACCAAACTTCTATCCAGGATTAATTTCTTCTGGCATGTCACTACTCACCTATTTGCACTCTTAATTGTTCATTGCATAAAATGGTCTAGTACCATTAGAAGGCATCGCTGGTTCATTCTTCCTTTTCTTTCCCCAAATACTCACAGATCGTGTTAGATAACCTTCATATGCTTCATCCTGAGACAATAACCCTTCCCTGGCTTGCAGGTTTTGTCCTGAGATCAATGGTGGAGCTATTTGCAAAATCCAGACTAGAAAGTAATAGTCTATAATTTTAAAACATAAAATAGCCTTGCTTGAAACACACTTTGGTTAAATACAGCATTACTTAGCAGTAGTTTTTGTTGGTAGGTTTTAAAAAGAAGAGATAAAAGTGGCTAGGCTTTGAGTAATACAAATTCCTAGAAGATTAGCATAAGTAAAAGTATTTTTTACCTCTGCCACTCAGCTTCTACCTTCTTCTCTAGGCTGTTTAAACCAGTAAATCGAAAAGCACCCAAGTTGTTACGAAGTTAAATGACAGTATTACTTATTTGTAGTCTAGCCATTGACCAGTGTAGAACATCTTGCAGACTTCATGTGAGAGTCTTTTCTTGTAAGTAAAAGTGATCAAACACCTTCTTAAGTTGGGAGAAACAGAGGAGAAATTATTTTTGTCCACAGTATAAAGTTGTAGTAGCTAAAAATATTAAGGTTATTTTAAAGATACTGTTGTTGGTTTAACTTACGATTCCTTGATTTTTCTTTTCCTACTGCCTTTTTTTTTTTTTTAATATGTCTCAGGGCCAAACGTAAAGGCTGTTGCCAGTGCTGTGGAGCAGATTTACCCATTCGTGTTTGAAAGCAGGAAATAAATTTTATAATACACCACTTGATGGTTAGGTTTCCTAACCAAGCACCTTTAAAGACTGCTGCACATTGGACTAAAAGCAAAAAGGAAAACTGGACCAACCGTAGCAGAGGAATACAGACTCTCTTACTTGCTCATGGCCACAGTATAAACTCCAGTTCTTTTGGATTTTACTCTTAACAGTGCTGTATTGTAAAAACAGAAGTTTACAAGATATGAAATTGCTGCTTTTAAAAAGACATTCTATTTATTTTTGCAGTAATTTCTGTGTATTCATAAGCAAAGCTGTCACGATGTGCACTACCTTTAAAACTTTTTTTTTTTTTTTTTAGTTTGAGCTTGTGTTTTATTTGTGAATAGTCTTTTACATTTTTTGTATGCTGAATATTGGGCACCAAAGAAGCTGTAAAAGTTATCTTTTTCACCTGATGAATGTGCACAAATAAAAGTTTGAAAATATTTCTCTTCATACCTGTTCTGTTATATTCCTTTCCCTTTTTCTATTACAGTTAAAATTGTATAGTTGCAAATTTAATTTGAAACAATGTAAGAATAGTCTTTTGCTGATACCTTCTGTTTCTATTTGTAGTATGTGTAAAACTTTGTGCGTGGGTTAGATCGAAATCTATAGTAGTTACGTATGTTTATCCGAGGATGAAATTTGGTTTGTTCCCAGTTCTCTTAACTACATGCCAGACTTCAAGTATTTTCTTGCTGTTATGTGAAGAGAAGACATTTCCAAATATAAAGGTCTACAGCAAGTGTTTTCCTATAGATGGTGAGGAAATCTTGTCAACTAAAGAAGCTACTGTAGAAAACCCAACTGCCTTGTCCACCTTCTGGATGAAAAGGAAAAAAGTCACTGTGTGAGCTTCAGTTTTCAGGAAAGTGTTGTTGTGCTTCAGCGCGAGAAGATGGTGTGGTCACGCTAATCCAGCCCCAGCCTATTGCTGAATGATTAACGCAGACCTTTTCTACACTCTTCTTACTGTATAATATTTTCATGACAGGAGCTGCCAGCAAGCAATGAAGCTTGATTCTGGCATGTATTATTATTGGTATTAATCTTGGACTCGGAAGCCAGTAGATGTTTCTCTCGTAAGTGCACATTTGAAGCAGAGGAGAGGTGAATGCTTAAAAGTAACTGCAAATGCTACTTTTAAAAAGATACAATAAATATGTATAAATGTATGTATGTCTTTTTTCCCTATCTCACTGAAGAGAAATGTAACGCTACCATTGTATGCTGCAGGTAATATGCAGTCTTAGTGGGTGCTAAAAATAGTAAATGGTGAGCTGTTACTGCACCAGGAGTCACAGCTGCGAAAGAAAGGTAGAACGTCCTGAGGCAGCAAGTGTCTAGCATAATGTATTTAATCTGTCTGAGGGGATGGTACAGAAGTTGGGGCTATCTGTTGTGTCTTTGTGCAGAAATTATGGAAAGGAAGGAGTAGTATGGGAAATGTTCAACCAAACCCCTCAGAACAAAAAGAAGGAAGCAACAATTTGCCACGAGCCTGAAGTGATATATTCGTAAAAGCCCTTTTAAGCTCAATGTATGTGGGAAAGAGAGGACTTAGAACCATGAAATTGTGAAGTTGAGTTCAAGTCATGCTAAAGAGTAGAGAAAGGGATGCTTGCTTTATGCAAGCTTTCCAGTTTGTATAGAAGGTAATGTGGACCTCAGCACTCTTGACACTAATGAGGATTTTGTGAAATGTCATAAAGAGCAAGGGACAAACCACCATTAGGGAACACTAGTGTATTTTTATTACAATTTAAAAAAGAAAAAGCAGAAGGCATTTGAACAATGAACAAAATTGAAATGGGTTTTCCGGGAACAAAGTGTACTCCTAAGCTGATGAATGAGGATTTGGCCATTATAACGACAATAGCTGCCTTAGATGAGGCCTGCCTCTCTTTCTTTTGGATCAAATTACAAAGCACTTGAGTGCTACCAGTGAAATGCTGGAGCTTTTGTGAAGCATATGCGTCTCCTAAATTTATCTATGGAGAAAGAGGAACATTGTGCTTTTTTGTTAGCACTGTCACGTAATATGAAATCTGCCTGTTAGAACAAAAATGAAAGGTAATAATAAGCTGCAATGTATTAAAATGGGAACTGTTTCTTTTGAAGTGCTGCTTAAACCGTGCTAGCCATTTGAGGCCTTCTTAACAATCCATAAGGGAGCCGAAAAGCACACAGCTGAACTTGCAGGGGAGTATTGAGAAAGAGAGTAATAGCAAATAAAAGATTCCTTGCAATGTGTGCTTACCTATCCTCCTTGCTCCAAGAGAGCCTCAAACTGTTTGTGACAAATATGCTTTAAAACCTCTGATGATGAAGGGCATTTGGCAGCGTACATTTATAGTCGGGGGTATCGCTCTATTCCCCATCGCTGCTCTGAATCAGGAGGTCCCTGTCTCAGTGTGGAACAAGCCTTGCTGCTGCTGATGATGATGATTTCTGCATGCATGCACGCATACACACGCACCCCCCTTCCCCATCCTCAGGTGTTGGTCTTTGTTTCCTTCTCTGTCGTGTTGTTCTGCCTCCACCTAGTCTCTCACCATCAACTCCTGCAGTCATGATGCGGACCCCAGGCCAGACAGCATGCCCCAGCGCGCTAGCTCTCGCCCCAGTGTGAGGAGCCGTCCTCTCGGCTAAACTTACTTGTCGATCAATCAGCTCTTCCCCAATGGCCATGTCTTCTAGAGCACTGTTCATCAGTCCCTGGGTTCTCCAGGTGGATTCCATGCAAAACTCTGCACGGTGCTCAGCTGTGGCACTAGCAGCGCCATGGAGAGTTTATTTCATGTCGCTAGAGAGAAGGGCTGGTTCTATTTATGCAACCCACATAGGGCTCCTTTTTTGCAGTAGAATGATAACTCTGACTCACTGCTAGCTTGCGAGTTGTCATAGCCACTAGATCTTTTCCTGCGGTCTCTAGCTCCATTTTATCGTTCTCTGACTTGCAATTAGCGTTACCAGAGAAATTTGCACTTACGCTTTCAGAATTGTATCCTCCTTTTTTCACGCCTTTCGCACGGATTTGCGAAGGTCTGAATTCCAATCCAGTCTCTCCTAGTTTAGTATTGCGTGCAAATTTAATAAGTATACTATGTTCTGTAATCCGGTCCATTAATGAAGATACTGAATAATTTTAGATCTGGGACAAATTTTTTTGTGGAGTGCTTCAGAGATCCAGGGATGTGATTTGTGAGACGTGTCGCTTTTTTCCCTTGTATTTTCATAGTTGGTGAGATTGTGACTGCCAGTTCTGTCTCATCAGATGTGCAGGCTTTGTTATAAAAGACCAGTACAATTAGGACTACATTTATAGGGGTTTATAGGGCTAAGTCTGTAGGACTACAAATAAGACTATAGCTATAAAGATTTAAAAAGCCCTTGATCACCACCTTTTGGAGGTATCTGAAGCTATTAGTGTCTCTGCAGTTCAACTGGTGTAGGAACTATGCCTTTGTCAGAAAGATGGTATTTTTACTTAGTTTCTGCACTAAATAGGTGTGCGCAGGGAAAGTTCAGAAGAGCTCATAATGAACCCAAAACCTGTAAGGTGGGGAGACAATTTCTATGGTATTTTCTGAGTTAGATTTATTTTTGTAAGAACACTCACAAAATTATTACAGCAGAGGTTGGTTTGGGAAGCTGCAATGCTGAGAAAGATTTTGCGAAAGCCCCTTTCACTAAATGTGATGTAATAGAAATTGTAAGCCAGTATGGGCTTGGATTGCACGTGCAAAGGTCTGCTATCTAGAGGCAGCTGTCAGAAAACGGTACCATCAGAGCAAATGGGGATGCTATTGAAAATGCAGGTAATCCACTACCTGGTACAGTCACAGATCAGGACATGCAATTTCCTGCAATACAGTCTTACTAAAAATACATTATATTACTGGATTTAATTTCAAGTACTTGATAGTATAAGAATGATGTTGATAAACTGGCAGCATATTTGGAAGACTACTACTTTGATATTTCTTGTTCTGAAGCTGATTTAGTAGAACACATGATACTGATAACCATCCTCCATGCCTAACATGAAACAGGTGGAGAGGTTTCAGTAGACATCAATGCTAAAAAACTGAGGAAGGTACTAACATGCCAAAACCCAGAAAATGGTGGGTTCAGACTCTGTTTTTTGACGAGATCATTTTACAAGTGTTCAGAACTGATAGTGGAATTTGTAGGTTTTATAGAAAGAAAATGCCACTGTTGATCTATGAAAAAAAATTTACAGTATTAGCAGGTCCAGCCTAATAAGCGCCCTTTGCTGGCGCTTGAGAAGTTCTTCTAGATCTTTTGCTTTTCTTCAACAAATGCTTGCCAGGCTTCCCGGCTTGACACACACTCATTAGGCAACACATGGCACTGACAATGTATCCCATATTTTACTATTCTTTCAGCTGCCCCTTTCCCCCCATCGCCAGAGTCAATCTCTGACTTCATTGCCCTTGCATTTCGTTTGCCTTCATCCATGGCTCCAAACCCAGTTCTCCAGCTCTCCCTGTTTCACGTGGCTGAGCTCTAACACGTTTTGCATCCTTTTTCTGACTGTTTGTAGAAGTTACAGGAATACTCTTACCTTTGCCAACTCTTGCTGCTGCAGCATGGAGTAAACTCTTACTGCTGTGGTCAGGGAAGCACAAGGAGACTATTTGCTATGGGCTGTCTCCCATGTGGGGGCAAAGGGAACTCTTCTCCTGGCCTCTTGTGGTCGATATGAGAACTGTAGAGCTCAAACAAAATTCTAAGCACAGTCGTCAATTTTTATTGGAAAATTCAAAGTAAAAGAAACCAAAGGTTTTCATGTCTGTGCAAAAGGAGAAAGCACCTGAGATCCAGGGTGGAATTTTAGCTTGGGATGGAATCTGCAGCTTCCCCATAGAGAATGAGAGCAAAAGGCTTTTGAGCTAACTGCTTCTGATGGGGCCTTTGGTCTGTCACCTACGTCTCAGGTGCACAGTCCCACTGTCTGTCCATGTGTCCTGGGTGTGCTTGGTCTCTTGTTGCTTCCTGTAGACTACATTGAAAGGGCTCACATGTACCCTTATCAGATGATTTTACTTAATCTTTGGTACATCCTGTATGCCAAAACCTGTGTCTTGCTGAGCCTTACGCATACTATCATAAACATTCTTAAAAGCAGCCCAGGCTTGCGACACCCATGAGGTTATTGTAAGGACAGCAGACCCTAGGATCAGGACAGAAAAAAATAAGGCAGCCAAAAGCCAACCAGCTAGCCAGTGGCTGGTGGAAGAGCTTCTTCCAGAGTCTTGCTTGTTTCAGATGACATGAGATCTGCATAGTTAAAAATCCTGCATTGCAATAACTACTTACCTGACCTTTGTACCAAAAGTCCAACAGGGTTTTTAAATTGATTCCCTGAAAGCTCACAATGCAGGAAAGTTGTGGTACAGATTTGGCTGGTAGGATCTCATCTCGAG